GGTTATGGCTCAAACCGTTTAGCAATTAGGGGCAAAAAAGGGGGAAAAACAAGGTTGTCCTGGTTAATAGACAAATACTTTAGTACAAAACATAATTTAAAGCAGTGTAAGGGAGATAAATCAAATACATCACTGAAATTACCTCTCTTACACTGCTTTTAAATTATGTATAAAGTAATGGTTAATGAACAATTAAGATAATTTAAAACAGTGTAAGGGAGGTAATCCAAATACAACGTTTTGGTTACTTCCCTTACACTGCTTTTAAATTATGTTTAAAGAAATGCATATTTATAAAGGAAGACCAGTAAAAATATCTGCAAATGTTGCATCTTTTTTTTTTACAAAAAAAACCATATGAAAGATTTGACACTTTATTTTAAATTCTATTATAAAATAGATTACGTTAGCACTATGGTAAATTTAAATGGGTAATTATGGTTGCAAACTCCATTGGAAATTTGAATTGAGATTATGACCATATCTTGAGGGAAAGAATTTTTTGGGGGAAAAAAAGGGGGGGGGTGGAGTAAAAAGAAATTGTGGGGGGTCAATTTTTTCTCATTTCAGATTTCAGAAATTAAAAAGAATTATTCTTCAAATATTATTTTTTTTTTTTTCAAATTTCAAAAATTGAAAAATTTCAAGAAGTAATCTTTAATTGCACAGTATGGCGCATTAGATTTGTAAAATCTTTGACCACATTTATTTATTTGTTATGCCGAATCTAACCGTTTATTTAGATTTTTAATTTTGGGTCCAGTTTTCAAATTGGTCTACATTAAGGTCCAAAGGGTTCAAAATTAAACTCTGTTTGATTTCAACAAAAATTGAATATATGGGGTTCTTTGATATGCTGAATCTAACCATGTATTTAGATTTTTTATTTGTGGGCCCCGCTATCAAATTGGTTCATATTGAGGTCAAAAGGGTCCAAAATTAAACTTCGTTTGATTTCATCAAAAATTGAATCATTGGGGTTCTTTGATATGCAAAATCTAACCGTGTATTTAGATTTTAAATTTTGGGTCCTGTTTTTTAAATTGGTCTACATTAAGGTCCAAAGGGTCCAAAATTAAACATAGTTTGATTTCAACAAAAATTGAATTCCTGGGGTTCTTTGATATGCTGAATCTAAACATGTGTTTAGATTTTTGATTATGGGCCCAGTTTTCAAGTTTGTCCCAGTTGGGGTCCAAAATTAAACTTTGTTTGATTTCAACAAAAATTGAATATATGGGGTTCTTTGATATGCTGAATTTAACCATGTATTTAGATTTTTTATTTGTGGGCCCCACTATCAAATTAGTTCATATTGAGGTCAAAAGGGTCCAAAATTAAACTTTGTTTGATTTCATCAAAAATTGAATTATTGGGGTTCTTTGATATTCCAAATCTAACCATGTATTTATATTTTTAATTTTGGGTCCCGTTTTTTAAATTGGTCTACATTAAGGTCCAAAGGGTCCAAAATTAAACTTAGTTTGATTTTAAAAAAAATTGAATATATGGGGTTCTTTGATATGCTGAATCTAACCATGTATTTTGATTTTGGACATTGGACCATAATAGGTAAATTAAAAAAATTCAAATTCTTAGACCACATTCTTTCTGTGTCAAAAAACTATGCTGTGTCAAATATTTAATCACAATCCAAATTCAGAGCTGTATCAAGCTTGAATGTTGTGTCCATACTTGCCCCAACTGTTCAGGGTTCGACCTCTGCGGTCGTATCAAGCTGCGCCCAGCAAAGCATTTTATTACTGTTTGTTTTAAATTGATCTAAAAGTATTATCCGATTGAAAGCTGATCCCGAGTAAAACAGGTAATACAGATGAAGCGATCATGTTTCCCATGATGTTTAACAAAATAATGTAGACAAATCTAGACATAGATTATTTTACTGTTGAAATGTCACAAGTTTATCGAGATTTATAAAAGGATATTTACTTTCAAGTGTTTTAGATGTATGCCTTTGTAGCAAATGTCATTGATTACCTTATTGAAACTGGACAATTCAAATCGGGATAATAAGTTTGTAAAACATGTTGAATTTATATCTTTTTAAAAATTTTTTACAATTGAATATACTAGTACACATAACAACAAAAAGAAAAACAATCAAACAAAATGAGCTTGACGCTATCTTGCTAACCGCAAATCTATTTCATATGAATTAGTTTATGTACAAATTAAGGAATAGAAACGTGTAAAAATGTGAATATTTTAATTGACTGGTATACAAGAAAGATTTTGATTATTCGTATTTAAGAAAAGGGGGTCGAAACATATTTTTTGTACAATCATCTTCAAAACTTTCAGAAATGGCTTCTTAACTATTTTTAAATATTAAAATATAACATGATCCACTGTGTTTCACCAATATCATATGTGATAACTGGCGGCTTAAACTATCAAGATCGAAAAAGACATAAAAAGGAATAGATAGACTACAACATTGAACGAATGCCTCTATTCGGGAGCGGAATGTAAGTTTGAACTATTCGGGTTACTTTGTATGTATATACATGTATGAGTCAGTTATTGCATGATTTAACGGACGTGGCGCTTAAATATGAAGATTAGGATATAGGGTCTGGAAATCTAGTTTACAATTTCACTTCAGTTAGTTTCAGGGGACATTCCTGATCAACAAAATTTGGGTTCCATTTTTTTAAAACCAGGAATCACATCATAAATGAACTTGTAACGACTATTTCACTGCATAATCATTATCCCTATAAAAACGTTAAAATCGATATTTGGAATTCATTTCTATAAAGTTGGAACCAAGGATTTGTACAAATCCTTATTGGAACAATTCTAATGACTGTAAATTGTAAATTAATCAAGAATAAATCACGTTTACTTTCGATTTTCAAATGAAATGAAAACGGGAAGTGACAAGTGGATAATAAATTCAGAATGAATCCAGATTCATCTACGGATAGTTCGTGTTTAAAAAGAGGCAGAAAATTATCATTTTTTAAATTAAATTTGCTTAGTAAGAAATATATTTGTCTCTCTCGTTTAATTTGATACTAAATGATTTCGTATTTTACGTTTTAGTGCCTATAAATTCTTAAGAATACTTTCACGCATGCACAGTACATAGTAAAGGAAGCACCTGTTTGACTCGTGAAAACATTTCTAAACGTTTTGAATAAAGTTCTATCTTTTAAATAGAAATTGTCGAAAGTTTTTGATGAAAATACGTTCATATGACGAAACTATGACAAAAGAACTGCAAATTGTGATCGATTGAGAAATATTGAAATTAAAATGCGAAATGTCCGAGGGGAAACAATTTTGTTCAAATGACGAAACTACGACAAACGAACTGCAAATTGTGGTCGTTTGAGAAATATTGAAATTGAAATGCGGACTGATTTTACTGGGAAAAATAATTATGATGGTCAATTATGAGGTTTATTAATAATTAACGGATTGGTGACCCATCTGATGGCAATAAGCGGATTACCTGTAATCACAACTTATAACACCTGTTGTAAATGTTAATTAGCTGGGGGTCATAAACTTGTCAGAAACATGAAGACAGGTAGAATTATAGTATTTTTACACTTTTCAAATTTAAGTGACGAAATTGATATGAAAGACTTTCGTCATTTTGAAAACCGTTTCGTAAATGACGAAAATGACGAGCGCTAGCAAAATCACTGTATATGACAACAACCGGTCTGTTCATATATTTTCGTGAACACGATACTAACCGGAAAGTGTCAGGGATTTGATCGATCACATGCGGAGAGTCAATTACCATGCCATATAAACCAATTAACGAGTTATCGAAAGATGGGCGGTAACGCAGATGAAACATTTGAAGTGACGACGTTGTTATTCCTTTTAAACATTACTTCCATGCTTATACAATCTAAAGAGTTTGGGTCTATTTTTGAGTCATAATAAAATCTAGTCATTATTATGACCACTAGATAGGATATTTTAATTCTTTTCTGTAATGCCTTCCTGCAAGTTCCTGGTCAAAGACAAAAAATAAAATAGCCTTTCTAGATGTCATAATTATTTGAACTAAATTAAATCTTATGTTGTTTTCAAGATTGTTTCAGTCTTTAACATAAATAATGAATTTCAACAGGACAATGTGGAGTCGCCACATGTCAATATTATTGAGTGCTGAAGGATTTTCTTTATTTAGTATACAAATGTAACACTGGATATGAACTCAAGTGTTGCTGAGTAAAACTGATCAGGTGTAGTGGTTCGCGCATCAGACTACTAACACAAAGGTTCCTGGTTCGATCCACGTTCTGGGGTGAAAATTTCAGGGACTGAATTTTCGGCTCTCCCTTGACACCATTTGCGAATATGGTCTTGAGAAACGATGATAGTCCGTCAGAAGGGGACGATAAATGGCTGACCCGTGTTAAGAGAGAGCCATATCTCTTGCACGTAAAAGACACCCTTGTAGATTTCCAAAAAGAGCAGGCTAATGCCACTACAAGGCAGCACTCGCACCCGCACAGTTGAAAGGGATTAATATAAGTTGCAATAACTTGTTTCCCAATACACTATAAAGAAATATGTTTAAACTAACTGATCAGGTACAAGTTAAATCGGCATCTGGTCAGTTTGGTACCTATAAAAAGTCAAATAGGCACATATCTGAAGTTGTCTCAGCATTTGATAATTCAACTAAAATAATTTTTACCGTACTGTTTTCTTTCCTTTTTATAAAAATATCTGTGAGACTTGGTTTTCGATTTTTTATATACATATTTTTTGCAAAACTTACAATTTCAGATGTTCATAACTTCATTTGGTACATCATTAAAAACTCAACACTTGTTATTAAGCAGGAAGAATACACACGAATTTGAATGACTTGTCTGATCTGATGGCTGAGTTCATTATTGCAAACATATTCTTTTCTTTCCCGCACAGATATATAACATTCCTTGTGATGTGTGAGATGGACCAACTGAGAATACATTCATATATTTTACTTTATTACATTGTAGGTTGTATTGAAGATCGTTAAGCATTGTCAAGAAGAAGCTGCTGGTGGAACAGATCTTGTCCAAGGTGTCTTGTTAGGTCTAGTTGTTGACAACAAGTTGGAAATCACCAACTGCTTTCCTTTCCCCAGGCACAATGATGAAGAAGAATTTAATGAGGGTATGTATTGATATTTTGTGTCATTTGCATCATAGTTCCAGTATGAGCAGTCCATTATGGATTGTCTGTTCTCAAAAATCTCTAATGTGTCTGTAAAATTTGTATATCTTCTGTAAAAATTTAAATAAATCTGAAGTCATGGAAGTTGGAGGTTAAAATTAATATCTGATTATACCCTTGGCAAAGCAATCAACATTGGTTGAAAACTATATTCAGTTATGCCACAAACTATAAAACCTTGCAAAGAAAAAGAAATCTGACTTTGCCACCATCCAAGCAACATGGCCACCTTCAAACAGTGTTCTAGCTAGGATATGAAAATAGAGGGGCATGATCAGTACTCATGGTATCTGTATAATATTAGTTTTTGTCATGGCAAAACACATATATAGAAAAATTTATGTACTATACCTAAGCAGCATCAAAATGTAAAAAAATGAAAGTAGAACAGATGTCACCCTACATGTCAATAATTTGTTTATCACTAACATTTTCTCTGTCCTCTGTCTACTTACCTTCAGGCTTTGTAGAAAAATGAATGAACATCCAAACATCACCTTATTCAGGTTTTGGTTTCATATATTTTACCAATAAGTTTCATTGCATGATTGCAACTCATCTTACTGTTATACATTGTACATAGTTTATTATGAGTATTAAACCTGACCAGTATATGATATGTTATATTGAATATTTTGTTGTTTTGATTTGACATCATATTTCTCTCACATGCAATAATTACCACATTTATCATGTATATTAATGGATTATTTTGTAGTTCAATACCAGATGGAAATGATGAGAAATCTACGACATGTAAACATAGACCATTTACATGTTGGATGGTATCAGAGTACATACTTTGGGTCTTTCATCAACAGACCATTATTAGACTCTCAGTTCAATTACCAAGACAATATAGAGGAATCTGTTGTTCTTATTTATGGTAAGGTTACCATTATATCCTTACACCTCTCCTCTCATTTCTAATTGTCATCCATCACTTACGACTCAGTTAGAGTCCACAATTGTAAATCAAACACTTTTGTAAGCAGCTTTTATTTAACCAACTTAAAAAAATGTAGTATTTTAAAATTCAACCTAAGGGGTAAACATACGGAATAAAGGTCAATGAAACAACAACCCAATAACACAAATATACAAGGAAAATTACATGTTACCTCAATCAAGTGCATGCAGTGATGCAGGTCGAGACAAGGTATTGGTCTTATTCAAACAAAGAGAAACATGTGAATTTTCATGCACTTGTATTACATGTAGAATAACAGTTTGAACTGATTTTGATTAATTCATGTAATTATAAAAGGAGAGGAAGGAGATTTCTGATAAATATGTACATATATTTTTCAAACCTTTTGATCACTAACTGAATTCAGTTTATAAATACCAAGATATACTTATGTGACATTTCAGCCTGAGGAATTATTTTTATACGACTGCAAAAAAATTTTGTGGTCGTATATTGGTATGACGTTGGCGTAGTCGTCGTCGTCCGAAGACACATTGGTTTTCGCACTCTAACTTTAGTTTAAGTGAATGGATCTTTATGAAATTTTACCATAAGGTTCAATACCACAAAAGGAAGGTTGGGATTGATTTTGGGGGTTATGGTACCAACAGTTAAGGAATTAGGGGCCAAAAATAAACATTTTTGTAACTTCCAGACATAACTTGTGTGTAAGTGTATGGATCTCTCTGACATTGTACCACAGGGTTCCATATCACAAAGGGAATGCTGGGATTGATTTTGGGGGTAATTGCCTCAAAATTTTGGGAATTAGGGGCCAAAAAAGGGGAAAAAAACAAGCATTTTCTAGTTTCATGACAATAACATGTGTGTAAGTGTATGGATCTTTCTGAAATTGTACTACAAGGTTCCATATCTCAAAGGAAAAGCTTGAATTGAGTTTGGGGGTAATTGTCCAATATGTTTAGGAATAAGGGGCCAAAAAGGGGCCAAAAATAAGCCGTTTTCTAGTTTCCAGACAATAACGTGTGTTTAAGTGTATGGATCTTTATGAAATTGTACTACAAGGTTCCATATCACAAAGGTAAAGCTAGAATTGAGTTTGGGGGTAATTGCTCAAAAGGTTTAGGAATAAGGGGCCAAAAAGGGGTCAAAAATAAGCATTTTTCTAGTTTCCAGACAATAACGTGTGTTTAAGTGTATGGATCGTTATGAAATTGTACTACAAGGTTCCATATCACAAAGGGAATGCTGGGATTGATTTTGGGGGTAATTGCCTCAAAATTTTAGGAATTAGGGGCCAAAAAAGGGTAAAAAAACAAGCATTTTTCTAGTTTCATGACAATAACTTGTGTTCAAGTGTATGGATCTCTCTGAAATTGTACTACACGGTACCATACCACAAAGGGAAGGCTGGGATTGATTTTGGGGGTAATTGCCTCAAAATTTTAGGAATTAGGGGCCAAAAAGGGGCAAAAAACGCATTTTTCTAGTTTCAGGACAATAACTTGTGTATAAGTGTATGGATCTTTATGAAATTGTACTACAAGGTTCCATATCACAAAGGGAAAGCTGGGTTAGAGTTTGGGGGTAATTGCCCTAAACGTTTAGGAATTTGGGGCCAAAAAGGGGCAAAAAAACAAGCATTTTTCTAGTTTCCAGACAATAACTTGTGTTCAAGTGTATGGATCTCTCTGAAATTGTACTGCAAGGTACCATACCATAAAGGGAAGGCTTAGATTGAGTTTGGGGGTGATGAATCATAAGGGGGTTCAAAAAATTTGGGGGGAGGGATTTTTTTTTTCCTTTTTTTTTCTTTAAAATTTTCCATTTTAAATTGGTTATTTCTGATTTATATGTAAAAACAAATAATAATGATATGGTTTGAATAGGTCAATTAATAATTTATAAGTTCTTAGACCACATTCATTCTGAGTCAGAAACCTATGCTGTGTCAAATATTTAATCACAATCCAAATTCAGTGTGTATCAAGCTTGAATGTTGTGTCCATACTTGCCCCAACTGTTCAGGGTTCGACCTCTGCGGTCGTATCAAGCTGCCCCTAGCGAAGTATTTTATTCAAATTAATGTTCATGTATTTGAATTATAACATTTCAGATCCTTTACGTACAACACAGGGATATTTAGCATTAAAGGCGTACAGATTGACCAGAGAAATGATGGACTTCTATAGAAATGGAGATTACAGTCCAGACTCTATTAAAGAGTCAAATATCAGCTTTGAAAAAATGTTTGAAGAAATCCCAATCTATGTGAAGAATTCTCATCTGACCAACGCCTTGTTGTGTGAAGTTGAAGAAAAAACTACTGATGAAGATAAATTTAATTATCTTGATCTGGCAACTAGGTAAGGGAGATAACTCTAGACAAAAACATTAATATTATGACTGAGTAAGTAGTGTTTCCCCTATCACACAAAAAGGGCATGGTAACTTAATTGAAAAAGGGCATCTAGAGCCCGCAAAAATTTATAAAAAGGGCACCTACAGTGTATGGAAAATTAACAAAAGGGCTCCTACAGTATGCTGAAAACAAGAAAGGCAATAAATTGTCATATTGCATTGGTAAAGTATGGACTGGCAGTTGTTGATGGAATCAGAACTCAAGATAGCAAGTGTATTGTTTCAAAATAATATTGTATATATGTATCTTTGAATAAAGATGAAAATCAACATTATTTCGGGTAAGAGCAAGTGACCAAAGATGTATGTATATTACTAGCTATACATCTTTGTCAGACTTTGAAGGACTAAGGCATAAATTTACTAGGCAGTAATTATATGATTTGACTGATGTGGCAATTAAATATAAAGATTAGGATATAAGATCTGAAAATCTAGTTCAAAATTTCACTTCAATTAGTTTCAGGGGACAGTCCTGATCAACAAAAGTTGGGCCCCTTTTTTTTAAACCAGGATTCACAGTATAAATGAACTTGTAGAACTTTGTAAGACTATTACACTGCATAATCAATATCCTTATAAAATGTTTAGATCGATATTTAGAATTCATTTCTATAAAGTTGGAACAAAGGAATTGTACAAATTATAATTGGAACGATTCTAATAACTGTAAATTGTAAATTAATCGAGAATTGATCACGTTTACTTTCGATTTACAAATGAAATGTAAACGGGAAGTGACAAGTAGATAATAAATTCAGGATGAATCCGGATTCATCTACGGATTGGTTCGTTTTTAAAAAAAGGCAGTAAATTATCATTTTTTGAATTTGATTTGCTTAGTAAGAACTATATTTGTCTCTCTCATTTATTTTTAACTAAATTTATTCGGTATTTTACGTTTTAGTGTCTATAACTTCATAGGAATACTTTCACACATGCGCAGTAAAGGAAGCACCTGTTTGACTCGTGTAAACATTTTTGAACGTTTTGAATAAAGTTCTATCTTTTTAATCGAAATTGAACGTTTAAACCAAGGATCACGAAAATATGATCATTTGACGAAACTATGACAAACAAACTGCAAATTGTGATCGTTTTAGAAATATTGAAATTAAAAAGCGAACTGTCCGGGGGAAAACAATTTTGTTCAAATGACGAAACTACGACAAACGAACTGCAAATTGTGGTCGTTGGCCTTGAGAAATATTGAAATTAAAATGCCGACTGACTAATTTTACTTGGGAAAATTATTATGGTGGTCAATTATGAGGTTTATTAATAATTAATGGATTAGTGACCCATCCGATGGCGATAATCGGATTAACTGTTATCACAACTTTATAACACCTGTTGTAAATGTTAATTAGCTGAGGGTCATAAACTTGTCAGAAACATGAAGACAGGAAGAAAGGGCATTTTTGAGACAATGGCGTCATCCAAAGAAGTGAAAAAAGGGCATGGCGTCATTTAGTAAGACAAAAAAAGGGCATGGCGTCATTTAAAAAGGGCATGGCATCTATCCATGCTAAACATGCTTGGGGGAAACACTTAAGTAAGGAAGATAAGGAACTTGTCAAATTATTTGACCCCACTCTAGGAGTTGAACCTATGTTGCAACCTCTGTGTCTGTCCATTTGTCCAACTATTATTTTCATCCAACTTTCTCAGAAACTACTAAATAGAAAAAAAAATCATATTGAGTCAGCAGCTTTAAAGAAACAAAAAGTGATGTGTTAGCATGTTTAGAATCTGCGACTCATTTCACAATAAACCTTACAAGATAAAATACTTGTAAGTCATGAACATTTCAGTATAACTTATAAACAATTCCCTTGACACCATTTGCGAGTATGGTCTTGAGAAACGATGATAGTCCTTCTGAAGGGGACGATAAATGGCTGACCCGTGTTAAAAGAGAGCCATATCTCTTGCACATAAAAGACACCCTTGTAGATTTCGAAGAAAGGGCAGGCTGATGTCGCTACAAGGCAGCAAAGTGGAAAGGGATTAATATAAGTTGCATTCACTTGTTTCCCAATCCACTATAAATAAATATGTTTAAACTAAACAATTTTTTCGTAAGATTTTTTTGTGAAAAGAGCCTGTGTTACATACCTACTTCTTATAACAGATACTTTGAATTTTTCATTGTGTTGAATGAACTTTAAATTTTTCTTTACTATTGAACAGTGATGAGTTGTACAATTTGGGAATTTGTTGGATCCTTCTTTCTATTTCCAATACTTTGAATAACTAGTGGTGATTTGTTTACCATAACAATAGATATAAGAAGATGTGGTATGAATGCAATGAGACAACTCTCCATTCAAGTCACAATTTGTAAAAGTAAACCATTATAGGTCAAAGTACAGTCTTCAAAATGGAGCCTTGGCTCACACGGAACTGCAAGCTATAAAGGGCCTCAAAAATGACTGGTGTAAAACCATTCAAACGAGAAAACCAACAGTCTAATCTATATGCTTGATTCATATATATTTGTCTGCATTGAGGAACAATTTCACCATTGAAATGAATTTTAAAATGATTAAAAAACCATCTTGAACATGTTAAATCAAGATAAAACTGTATGTAGAGTTGCTGTTTTACTTCCAACATGCATACATCCTCAAAATTGGAATAGCATTTATAAGAGAATATCAGACAGATCAATGTTAAACTTAATTATGTTCTTTTTTTTTCAGTTCAATGTTAGAAAAAAATCTCCGTCAGTTAATGGACTGTGTTGATGAGGTTGCTATGGATGCCAATCGTTTCCTTAACTACCAGAGACAATATAATAAACAATCTGTACAGAAACAGCAGTTCTTGTTGAAGAGGGTAGGTTTATAGGAGTATAATCCCTTTAAAAAAAATATTTCCTAGTTTGAATTAGCTCGGGTAACACTAGATGAAGTCCTTAAATGACTGTTTTTGTGTTAAAAGTGTTCGTGAACATTAAATTCAGAATCATATATATATATATTCAAGACTAAACTTCATTAATACAAATATCAACACGAAAAAATTTCTGTCATATATTAAGGCTGCTGAAGTTAAAAAATCTGTTGGACACAACTTACCCTATGAAATAAATTCCAAATTTTTGTTGGAACTGTTTTGATTAAATATCTTTTATTATTGCTTACTAAATTTTGCAGCAACATAGTAGTTCCCTTTTAAAATTATGCAGAAGGATTGAAACAGATCTAGGTACATTAGTTGAATTTGTTGCTTTATGTTAAATATATCAAAGTTATAACTGAGTTATTCTTCTAATTCTTCTAACAAATAGAAAATAAAAGATCTTATTTCTTATGCAGCAAAAATACTGCAATCTGATTGGTTAATTACCCTGGTGTAAATAACACCCCACCCTTGTTCACCCCTGGATAAATAAAATTTTGCCAAAATAAAAAAAAAAAAAATAACATGTCAAAAAAAAAACAAAAAATAAAATAAATAAAATGTCAAAAAAAAAAAAAAAATAATTAAAAATTAAAATTTGTAAAAAAATTTAAAAAAAAATTAAAAAAATTTTGTTTTCCTGAAAATTCAAAAGAACAATTTTTTTTTCTTCTGAATTTCCCAAAAATAAAGAAAAAAAGTATTTGACAATACACAGCAACATCAAATTTGAAAAAATGTTACACTGGAAATTTTTCATTAACATTTTTCAATTTTACATCCCGGATTAAAAATGAGTAAAGGAATTGTTCATAAGAAATAAATTCGTTATCTTGGTGTAATCAGGGGTGCGCCTCAGGGTGTATGAATTTCAACAACGGTGTAAAATTCTGTACACCCTTGATTACACCAAGATAACTAACATAGACAAATTAACCTTCTTCAAGAAAGTTGACTTACATTGGTGTTTTTTCATAAATGTCCCAAGTTGATTAACTTAACAGAGTAAACATATAGCTTATAAGAATTTTTAAATCAGTCTCCTTTAAAAGCGCTTCACAAAATTCCACCAAACACAAAACAGCTTCTTCTTCAAGACATAAAGTTTTGATTTGAGTGATTATTGTGGTTAGACATACCAAATCATGAAATTCACCATTTCAGCTAAAATTATATGGATACAGCAGACGACACATGTTTTCCTTGTAGGAATCACACATTTTTTCGAACATTTTTTTTGGAGTGGCCACTCATTATACATTATGGAATATTTTCATGTGCATAAAAATAACATGTTATTGTGGTAATTTTTAAGAAATAAATATTCCTGTATCTCAATTTCTATGTTTTGAAACAACTCTTGCTACTAATAAATTCACATTGACATTTATCAACATTATTTGTTGTTGTTGTTAGAGAGGCAAAAGAGATGATCGTTTTACTGCTGTAAACTTGTGATTTTGTTTCAAACAAAATTAAACCATTTGATTTTAAATTAAATACAATAATCTAACTTGTCATAATTGCTTGAAAAATATGATAGAAAAGAAGTGATACAGGGTATTCATCTATTACACAAAATCACGATATGCATTCCTTAAAACACAAAAAGCAAAAGAACATCCCTTTTATTGCTCTTCTTCATCTCAAAGTCACAGTGAGACTTTCACAGGAACAAAAACAAAAACCTCAGACCTCACTGCAAACAGTAGAATAACAAAATACCAAACTCCAAGGGAAATTCAGAACAGAAAGTCCTTTATAAAATGGCAAAATCAAAAGCTCAAAACACAAGTTAAGACAACCCCTAGCACTGGTTTAAGGGGGATTCTTTGTGAGAATAGATAAAGACTTTCAAAGCTATCTTGGAAGATTTTTATGCAGATTAATCATGTAATACTGAAATATTTTTTAGCAACAAGAAAATACAGCAAGAGAAGCTCGAGGTGAGAAACCTTTACCTGAAGATGACATCAACAAGATGTTCAAGCCCATACCAGCACCTGCTAGATTAGATAGTTTGTTATTAGCTGAACAGATTAATAACTACTGCCAGCAAATCGGAGAGTTTTCATCACAGAGCGTTGGAAAGCTGTTTATGTCTGAAACTTTACAGAAAGAACCATTAGAAAGTTAATGAACAGATTAAGCTTAGATTTGAAAACTGACCCTATTAGATTGATATGGATAGCCATTTTGGTACTTTGAGAATGAAACAAAGTTGTCAGAATAAAAAAATCAGAAACTGGAAGTCTAGCTTTTTTATCCTTCACCTTAATACTATTAACAAAAATGCATTAATTCACTTTAAAAATTCACTTGAACACCACATGTTTCGTTTATGTTAGGTTGGAAACAGAAACAAGGTCATTAACAAGAAAATATCATTTTTAAAGGCAGTGCTTTAATGCCTTTCTAGCTGCCGTGTTAATATTTCTTTCCGCGATATCCAACTTATCTACGTGGGGGGTCATTTAGCTCCAAGTAGATCCGGAAAATGTTGATTCTCTCCTCTTCTTATTGTGGTATAAAATGTTTTTTGTCTCATTTCATTTACATTGGGAAATAGAGAAACGATCATTGTGTTTTGTTAGTTTTAAAAACTTTTGATATATTTGTATTTTACATTATAAGCAGTCAACCGATTGACAAACTAGAATTATTTGAACTCCTTGTGGAAAGAGGTCGGGTTAATTTCGAGTGTTATCTGCAATCTAGATGTTTATAAATCATTTCAGTCGTTGATATAATAATTAAAGGTCGACTGAACATGAATTATATTATACAATTTAAAGCGCATTTCTGTTTATGCACGCGAACCCGTCTAACGTTATTGTTATTTCGCAGTTATATAAAGTAGCAAATTATCGTTCCTGAATAGGTGGCGCCGTGGTAGCCGATCCTGTACTTCAACTTCCGGTTTCTGCACTGTGCAACTATTACAGTTGCATTTTTAATTAACGATGCCAAGTACTTGTTGTTGTGTACCTGGATGTCATTTAAGAGGAGGACATGCATTTCCAAATGACTTAAAAAGAAGGAAAAGTTGGATCAACGCCATGGCCCATACGCAGATTGGACGAGAACACGATGAAATCGTGGAGTCCATCTCAATCAGCTGTTGTTTGCAAGGCACATTTTACTGAAAAAGACTACGTGCAGGAAACTATTCATGGTAAAACTCTATTTTCTTTTTAAAATATATAGTTATATATGTAATCGCCATGCGAATAAACCAAAGTCTGTTTACAACCGCAATTATCGTTTTAGAATAAAAGGGGTGGTTAATTCAAGACGTCATAATTTTTTGGATTACGATTCAATGTGATCTGTTTGAGATTTTTTGGTGCTTGCTACAATTATAATGATTTCTTACAAGAGGTATATCATACTGAGAATTATTTTAGCAGTAATTATGCTTATGTAGTAATGACAGGAATGCATAAGCTATGCCTCATAGACTTTCTTGAAAAATATCAATGACAATGTTAACAGGAACAAAACAATGACATGCTCTCATCTATATTATAGTTATTTAGGTACAAACAATGTATGTTTGTTGCATACGTCTCTCATTGTTTGTCCTTTGGATTTACATAACATACATTTTGATGTACATTGAATCAGGCTAACATTGTAATGAATAAATCTAGTTTATATTTTGCCAGGTTACGAGTACAAAGGAATTATAGTTATCTCGTACCATTGTAAACTCGTACCAATGTCAACTCGTACCACTAAACAAAAACTCGTTCCAATGCAAACTCGTACCACTGCTAACTCGTACCACGGTAAATTCATACCATTGTAAACTCGTACCAACTTAAATGCATTCAAATGGTGTTTAATGATGAATATATACTTTAATTTCACTCAATACCTCTTAAGTCTGTAAAATGTATATAATTTGAAATTACAATAGCCAATTTGTAGCTAATTTTCCTTGTCTAATTGGATAGAGAAAACCGTGGCAGATTGGCTTTGTTGTCTCCCTTGAATAGACTCTTTTTTAAACGTTTACTGACAACTATTTGATTTAATTTTTAATCATTCCAAATCAGTAACATTGAATAGATTTGTGTATTTTTCTATTGTTTCTAAAAGGAATTTTATTTAATGAAAGAATTTATTGATTGTGTTTTAAAGGTTTAAAATTGTTTATGACCAACAGTTAGAAAGTATGAAATTTATTTTTATACAATATTCAGCACATTTCAGCAGAATATGACCATGCTTATATGATTATACAAGTTGATTAGTTAAAGATAAAAAAAAACAAGTTGATTAGTTAATAATCAACCAATAATCACACAATCAAAGGAATTTAATATATTTATTAGCATGGTAATTAAGAAATTACATTCGTATTTTTGTCTAAGTTTTCATTAAAATCTGGTATAAATTTCAAAGATATTTTAATTTTTTGTATAAAGCTTTAAAAAAAAATAATCATAAAACATTCGTATTTTTGTCTAAGTTTTCATTAAAATCTAGTATAAAATTCAAGTAATTCAACTTTTTTTATTTAGTTTACCAAAAAAAAATCATAAAACTTTCGTATTTTTGAATATATTTTTAATGGTACGAGTTTGCAGTGGTACGAGTTCTGATTGGTACGACTTCCCAGTGGTACGAGTTTACGTTGGTACGAGTTTACGTGGTACGAGTTTACAATGGTACGAGTTAACTTGCTTCCGTACAAAGTATGCATTGCTAATGGAAGTTCATTTAATTATCAAAAAACTAATGTTTTATAACCTTTTTCAGGGCACAAACCCACCATACAGAGACTTAAGTCTACTGCCAATCCCAGCCTATTTTCCTGGACCAAGCAAGAGACTGAATCATCCGCAAAAAGAAAAATCAGGGCAGTTTCCTGTGAAAACAAAAGAACTAAACTTGATGAATATTGTAGTAGAAATCTAGAGGAAAGTTTTGATTGTAAAGTTGGTTTTCCTGAAGAAGTAATTCATACTGCAGACAGGATTTATGACTGTCCACCACCAACTGCCGAGCTAATGTTGAGCTTCACAGATGGAATTACGCAAACACCATCAATGCCTATATTTTCAGCAGAGAATTTTGAAATGAAGACACGTGACACAGCCATGCATTTTTATACCGGTTTAGAGTTGTATACTAAATTTTTATTTGTTTTGACCACACTTGGTCCAACAGCACATTGTTTGAGATACATATATTTTCAAATTGATAGGGTGTCATTTGAAAATCAGTTTTTTTATGACTTTGATGAAATTGATGCATTATACAACCAACTATGAACTGTCTAGATTCTAGATTGAAACTAGTGTTAAGAATATTGTGTAAACATGGATTGTTTTTATGTCTAAACAGTGGCGTGAGGCTAACACTTGGCCATTTAGTGGTTTAGTCAGGAATTTTTCGCCATCCAACTTCAAATTAAAGTTTCCTACAACTTGGATTATTATTGACAGCACAGAATATCCCGTGATAAAACCTAAAGCTCCTAGAGCTCAGGCAACCTTTTCATCATATAAAAACAGAAACACTCAAAATACTTGTATGTTCGACACCTGGTGGTTTAGTCAACTATGTCTCTAATGCATATGTTGGTTGTACCAGTGACTGTGAAATAGTTGAAAGATGTAGAATAGTTCAATTATGTGATCCAGGTGACAGTGTGATGGCAGACAAAGGTTTAAATGTGCAAGATTTGTTTGCTCACTTTTTTCAAAAAAAGAAACAGAATTAGTTCCAAAACTCTTATACGGGATAGAAAAGTCTCCAATTAACACGTGCACATAGAGCTAATTATTGGACTTGGCAAAACATACAAAATTCTAATAAATCCTATGAATGGAACTGAAACAAAACTTTCATCTGAAATAACATTTAGTTGTTTTATGTTGTGTAATTTTAGAACTTGTATTGTGCCAAAGGATGCATAAATAAAAGTGACGCAATGAAGTTTGTTCTGATATATATATATATAAATATTATTTACAATTACATGCACATGTAAATTGTAATGCATATAAAAATAAGGAGATGTGGTATGATATTCAGTGAGTTTATCGAACCAAAGTGCATAAGAAATGGGTTAAGCAGTTACAGGTGTTACTGTCACCATACAATCTCCAACAATTAGAAAAACTTGTACCGTGTAAAAAATTTCAGAGATCTTACAACTAAGTTTTGTTGTCTCACCTTGACTTTGGTGAATTGTTTATATCTGTTGATGTAAATATAAAAAAGAAGATGTGGTATGATTGCCAATGAGACAACTCTCCACAAGAGACCAAATGACACAGAAATTAACAGCTATAGGTCACAGTACGGCCTTCAACAATGAGCAAAGCACATACCGCACAGTGAGCTATAATAGGCCCCGAAATGACAATGTAAAACAATTCAAACAAGAAAACTAACGGCCTAATTTATGTACAAAAAATGAACGAATAACAAATATGCAACACATAAACAAACGACAACCACTGAATTACAAGCTCCTGACTTGGGACAGGCACATACATGTACATACAGAATGTGGCGGGGTTAAACATGTTCGCGGGATCCCAACCCACCCCCTAACCTGGGACAGTGGTGTAACAGTACAATATAAGAGCGAACTATAAAAATCAGTTGAAAGAGGCTTAACTCATCAGATGGATAAATACAAATACAAGTGGATGTGGCCGGGTAGTTGTACATCCAAACAACAAAAAGACACTAAGTACAGATCTGAGAGTACTCGCATTTACTGACAGCTAGTTCAAAGCCACAAACAACTGATAAAAAAATCTTGCATCTAAGACTAAATTATCAATCCGTAAGCTCCCTTTAGAATTTTATAAATTTTAGATTTTACATTTCTGAGTTATGGGGTTTTATTCATTAAAAAGGGGGGGATTTTCCAGTTTTTGGACAACAACTCAAAAATGCTTTAAGCAGTTCGCATGAAACTTTGGTGAATTATTTATAGCTATTGATGTAATCTCCCTATTGATTTTCATAAATTTCAAATATGACATTGAGAAGAAATTGAACTTTATTTGTTTATAGTCTGGCAACAGATTTATTAAGTATTGCGCAACAGCACAGTGTATTGCACAACAGCAAGAAATCTTTAATTGAATATAAATTCAATTCATATAACCGATTTCAAGTTCTTTGACTACATTTATTCAGAAACTATAATATGTCAAATATTTAATTACAATCCAAATTCAGACCTGTATCAAGCTTGAATATTGTGTCCATTTTTGCCCC